TAAAAACAGGTATGTGTATATACACATATATAAGATATATATCACATAATGTCTCTATATTTAGCCATGAAAAATGCTTCTATAGACAACAGTAAATGACACACTTCCTGCTCACACCTATCACTACAATACAACTGACCTTTATATCTATACTTGAAACATTGGAAGTATTTGTGGAGTTTTAGTGGTGAAGCATAGGATGGGGAATTGTATAAAGGCCTTGGTGTCCCTGTATGCCACCATCCCCTGCTACAGGGGCAGCAGCAGCTTTCAAAGTGCTATATAATCAAATCTAATACATAAATATAGAAATGATAGAATAATGGCGGATCCGGCGCATATGATATTTGCTTGTAGGATTCCCATGCTAACTACACTGTTCAACTTAATGTGCTTGTCCTTTTTAAAATAAACATTTCTGTATCACAGCTCTCAGATATTTGTAGAAAAACGTTTATGTATTCCTGAAATGAGTAATTTTAACACACAATGATTAGTTGAAGACACTAACAGACTAATGTCAGAATTCCCTTCCTGTGCCCAGCAAGCTGTGTCCCCCCCAGGTGCCGCATCCCAGCCCTGGGGATCACCCTGGTCCTGATGGAAGATGTGTAAGCCTTGATGTCTCTGTCTGTGTTCCAGGTCCAGTGGTGCTGAGCACCCCAGCACAGCTAATTGCACCCATCGTGGTGGCCAAAGGCACCCTCTCCATCACTACCACTGAAATCTATTTTGAAGTAGATGAAGAAGACCCCAGCTTCAAGAAGATCGACCCCAAAGTGAGTGCTTGGCCTAAGTACATCTATATTGTGTGTGTGATGCAATAGCCTCATGCTTTGTATGGCTCCTGAAACATTTCCCAAGTTTACACATATATTTGTTTTATTTTCCGTCATTTAACTTTAGTTTTATTATGCACACCGATCTGTCCCCTGACACAGAAGCATTTCACATTAAACTTAAAGCAATTGATTTAAATTCTACACATGTGCTATATATATATACATATATATAACGATCTATATAGAATAATATAGATTGTAAACAGTTACTGTATTATTCCTAGTTGAATTGTCTGTTTTCTTTATTATTTTTTCGATGCATCACACATTGTCAGTATTTATTTAGGTTCTAAAGGGTTATTGATTAAAAAAACAAGGGCAGATATTTTGTGTGATCATTGCATGGCTTGTGCAAACGTTTTGTGACCTAGTTTTTATGGAGATAAACAGCGTTTTATACGGTAGGAAATAAATCTAGTTTTATAATATAAAGATAAATATTCTAATTACTATAAAGCCGTTTTGTTATGTTAGTAATGGTAAATATGTCTTTCGTTTTTTTAATTTTACGAAAACATTTCATGATTAAAACGGCTAGATTTGTTCACAATTGTATTTTTAAATCTCAGTTTTAATAACGTTTTCGGCCAAGTTTGATTTTCTATTTACCTTCATTAATAATAATGATAATATGAATAATAATAATATGAATAATATATATTATGATTATAGTAATAGAAGTATAATGGAAACATAGCATGCTTTTATTTTTACAGGGGTTGCGTTTTGCTTTTAATATAAAAAACGGAATATGAACAAATCTTAATGTATATTTGTTTTCTGTCCTGTAAGGTAGCTTCTGTGCATGTTTATATTTGTCTGAATTTGTTATGAATTGCTCTAAATACTGTTTCTATTACCAGCTCTATCGCATACACGGATTGGTGTTATTTGTGTACTGTATTTTTATTTGTATACTATCATTTGTTTTTAGTCGTGTTGCACCGTTTAAATTCAGGTTTTTACCACCAGTGGTCATCGAAAAATCAGCCACTGATTGTGACAATTACCCTTTGAATGGCTGACAGTTGTAAATGGCCTTTAGTGAGCAGGTTGTACAGAGGTTTTATTTACATTTCGATGTTCTGTCAAATTGGTTCTCAGGAACATTGTCTACACGATCAGTTCATTCTCCATTTTTAAAAGTGAAAGTAACGCGAATCCCTCTTAGTTTTGGATAATTAAAAAAAAAAAAAAAAAAACACGCCACTGTATATTTTTATTTCATTTATTAGCTTGTCATTAAATTAAAATTGGCAACAGTTTAAAATCTAAAATCACAGAAGTCATTAAATCCAGTGTATCTCAAGTGCATAATTTTTCAAATATATAGAATTCGATTAGCCAAGCGCCATCATATAAGCAAAAAAAAAAAATTCAAATTTCATTTGAATATATTTAAATAACATTTCAAGTATATTTATGGAATGTTAAGAATAGTACGAGCATTCTGAAACCAAACCAAACCAGGGAAATGTAAACTTCAGAGTTCTGACAGAAGGAAAAGTACCGTGAGGAGAAGAGCTACCTTTTGTATCTTCAGAGATTCGGTTCTGTTGTATCCAAAACGGAAAAATGAAAACTTCACCAGATCACAGAACAATAAACAGCCACAAACCTCAAAGACACTGCGAGTCACAATATTCTGATACATGGATATTTTTTAGAGCTTCTCCAGGCTCTTGGGGTTGGTGAGGATCTCTCGGGCCAACCTCCAGGTCTGCTTGGCGGCGTTCTCCAGGGCGGAGTGGGGTTTGCCCTGGAAGAGGTCCAGGGTGGGCAGGAAATAGTGCGGGCACCTCCGGCACTGGAGGCAGGAGATGAGCTGCAGCAGGATGCCATTGAGCCGGTCCCCTAGGCACGACTCGTCCCAGTCCGACTCCCGGGGGTGCTTCTCGCACTCGTAGGAGACCAGAGTCTTCATATTGTAGTTATTGAGGGGCTGGCCGGGCAGTTCCAGGTGCCGGTCCCGGAGGGTTTTCAGCAAGGACAGGCATTTCTTCCTACAGCCGCCCAGCTGCAGTCTGTTCTCGGCTTCGGCGAACTGCAGCACCCAGGCGTCGCTCTCCGCAGAGCTCTGCTTGCCGGCCAGGGTATGGCACTCCTTAGAGAGCAGGTTGAAGCCCTCCGCCTTGACCTCGGCTACCCGGTTGGGGCCCGGCCAGGGGATGTGGGGTAAGGGCCAGTGGGCAGCGCTGCGGGGCCAGATGCCAGTGCATTTGAAGGCCGGGGTGATCTGCACCACATATCTGTCCCTGATCCTCAGCTTCACCTCGCTGGTGTCCGCCACCATCTTCACCACGTCCCTGTAGCTGCATTTATCAACCGCCTGGGCCACCAGGGTCTGGAACCTGGAGCGGATCTTCCTGGCTGACAGGTAGCCCGAAGCGGTGATGAACTCCACCCAGAGAGACATGCTCCTCTTCCGACCATCGCTCAGCTTCAGCACCGCACAGCCGGGTAGGGAGCCGTCGTCCACGAAGTTGAAGACCCCCATCTGGTTGAGGTAGAGGACCACCTCGAACTCGGTGGGGGAGATGACCTCCAGGCCCTCGTAGCGGTTGTCCATCTCATTGAGGGAGCTGATGAAGCGGGGCTCCTGCACCTCCACCTCTTTCAGCACGTCGGACACCACCTTGCACACCTCCCGGATGGTCTTGGCGATGGCCGCCTTCCTGGCTTGGCACTTCTCGTTGTAGTACTTGTTGAGGTGGTAGACCAGCTTGGCCTGGGCGGCGATCATGTTTGGGCAGAGATCCGGGTTGTAGACCGGAGTCTCGCAGTAAACCGAGGGATCCAAGGCGGCTGCTGGGGAAGGAGCCAACTTTAAGGAGAACAGGGGAGTCCTCGGCAAGAATAGGAGGTCGGCTACTGGGCCGGGCGAGGGGCTCCTCCAGTGTGTGCTGGGGATGGCATGGAAGGCTCGAGGATGACACGGTCCCGGCCCCTCCTCCGGCAGTGCTGAGAACAGGGGAGGGGGGCAGTAGTCCAAGCACAGTCCTGGGCTCTGGAGTGCACTAGTCCTGAGCTCGTAGTGTCATCGCACGTACAGTGTCTATGGATGTGGATGATGGTGTGTACTAGAGCCCCGTTCATACACTCGTGTGAGAATTATAAAGGGAGGGCAAGGCAAGCGGCCAATCG